ATTAAAAAAATAAAAATGAATTTAAATTAAATTTAAATTAAAAAATAAAAATTATTTTTAAAGAAAAAAAAGTACAACTCTACAAGTACATCATAAAAAGAATTACTATTACAAGTAATTATTTTTTCTTTGCAAAAGTAAAATTTTAGTACTAGATGTTTTCTGAATTTTCATGTCTGTCTGCTTATAAATGATTACACGTCCTTTTCAGGCATTTAGATTTGCAGCTTACAGCCAAGCCAACTCGTCTCTGCGGGCACCGTCCATTGCTCACAATCTGTAAACAACCGTCATCGCATCACGGCATCGTTCTCCCTTTCTTTTCAAAGAAGGTTTAACAGCTTTTCTCTCTCTTTTTGCCCTTTTTCCAGTTAAATAATTCATAAAGGAAGAAACTTTTTGGGATTTTGCATCTGCCTAACGCTTCCTTTAAGCTGCTTTTGTGCGTAAAAGGTCGTGCTAAGTGGGTTAATTTCGGTATTTGAAACTCTGTTCATCAATCAATTTTAAATTTTATGTCTTTTTTATTGGGGGTATTGGATTCTTGTGACTGTGATGCGATTGCCGCTGCTATGTATTCTGGGGTGTCTCTGATTTGCTTTTGAGATTTTGTGAATTGGGTTGTGCTTGGATCCTTCTGACCCTGCCTATTTCTCTGGTTTCGTTGTGATTGTAAAGATCAGAGCTTTTGTTTCTGTGATGAGTTTTAGATGTAGGTGATTTGTTCTTTCTTCGATTTATGATTCGGTTGTAGAAAAATATACATCTTCTTTTAAAATAATAATCCCCTGAATTTTGAGTTTGTATTATGGTACTACTTTGTGTTTTATTTTATTTATTTTATTTTTTTTTTTTTTTGTCTAGGAGAGTTCTAAGCTTGAATTTTAGTCTCGACCAGGAATTTTATAGCTTTTTACTATCAACGTGAATGAGTTTTTAGCGTGTTACCATATCATGAATGCAATTAGCTATTGTAGCGTTGTGATTGAATCATACTGACAAATTTCAAATCTAGGGTGGTTCATTATTGTGCTTAATTAAGGCCTGTTTGGGTTGGTAGCAAAGCTGGTGGAGTTTCATTTGAGCTCTCTGATGACGGGTCCTGGAGACTCAGTGGCCTGTTAATGAGACGAGGGCGTTGGCTTGATGGCATTGAGGCCTGCCAAAGGCCCTGCAATTGTTAATTTGCATTTGCTTACTTTAAATTCCACAACCATCTATTGGTATGTCAGACTCTGATTAAAATCTGATTTCATTTCTAAAGCAGATACACTGTTGTGTTCCCTAGCAATTACAACTCTCTATTCCTGAGCTAAATTCTTTAGAATCGGGAAATGGTTAAGAGGTTTGTTCTATCGTTTACCTACATGTCAATTTAGTTAATAGAGTTTGAACAGAATTTCTGATCTGTTTCTTTGCTCCAAAGGTATGGAGTGTTTTGATGTGCAGGAAATATCATGTTGCCGTGCATAGAGGGATTCAAGCATTTATTTGCTTCCCTATTGCGTTGTTGTGATTTTGATTTGTACAAACAAACAAGAGGCCTTGAAAATCCAGAACGTCTTGCTGGAGAGACAGTGTGTATGTCTTATCTCGGTTTTTTGTTCTTTTTTTTTTCCTTATAAAGGGAAAATTTTGTGACTTTGTTAATATGCAAGTTAATATGCAAAGTAAAAACATTACTTCTGTTATGGAGATTAACTGAAGATTGTATTGTTACTTTCCTAACCTGGATGCAGTCAGTGTAAGTGAAGTAGAGGCACTTTATGAGCTCTTTAAGAAGATCAGCAGTACTGTTATTGATGATGGGTTGATTAACAAGGTTCATTTAAATTTATATTTTTATTATTTTCAACTTATCATAAGCTTGTCAAGTTTGTGCATAGAACTTAGAAGTGTTTTTATGAAATGAACAATAGTTCATACTGGGTTGTTTCTTTCTTATCTTTTTATATTTGAGTTGTATTTTTTTTATTAATTATTACCTTGTGACAGGAGGAGTTTCAATTGGCATTGTTCAAGACAAACAAAAAAGAGAGCTTGTTTGCTGATAGGGTACTCTTATCTATCTCAAGTAGTTGCTTCCATCCTTTGTCAAATCTGCTTTGCAGTCCTGTCATGACATTTCTGATTTACTGCAGGTGTTTGACTTGTTTGATACGAAACATAATGGCATACTAGGTTTTGAAGAGTTTGCCCGTGCTCTCTCTGTGTTTCATCCAAATGCTCCTATTGATGATAAGATCGAGTGTATGTATTGCGTGGTTAAATCTCTCACATCTCAAGTTTTTTTTACCTTAGTTAATTGTTTTTTAGTTTCCAGTTATTCATTCGCTGAGTACTTTGCTTCTTTTAACCTTGTAATAAACCATCTTGTAGTTTCTTTTCAACTCTATGATCTGAAGCAGCAAGGCTTCATCGAAAGGCAGGAGGTATTAATTAGCTGATCTGTTGATCATTTGTCTTTTATCTCTCTTCCGAAAGTCCAGTTCTTAACCCTTTCTCCCTTCTTTGCTTTTGTACTTATAGGTGAAGCAAATGGTGGTGGCTACCCTTGCTGAATCTGGAATGAACCTGTCAGATGATGTTATAGAAAGTATAATTGACAAGGTGGCGCACTTAGCCTGATTTGGTTGAACTGTTGAAGCCTGTTCTCCATAATTTTCATATTCATAGTTGGCTAGTTGCATGACATTAATTTTTCACATTTCAAATTTTGGAGCTTGGTGACAGACCTTTGAAGAAGCTGATACAAAACATGATGGGAAGATTGATAAGGAAGAATGGAGAAGCCTTGTTTTGCGTCATCCATCCCTTTTGAAGAACATGACACTGCAATACCTCAAGTGAGTTTCAAATATACTTCACTTTTTCCTTTTTTCACCGGTTGATTCCATTTGTGTGATAGTAGAGAAATATAATTATGTGTGTATTTCCCCAGATTGTAACGGCACTGAAACTCAAAAAATTTGATGCTTTAATGGGCTGTATAGTTAGTTTATTTGCTGTGATAAGTCTAGTGTACACATGATAGGAGCACTAGAATTGTTGTTGAGGACTGAAACACTACTGTTTGGTTTTTGCAGGGACATTACCACAACATTCCCAAGCTTTGTTTTCCATTCACAAGTTGATGACACCTGAAGTGAGAATGGCGATCATGGTCGATCAAACTCGCATTGCTAGAATTTTCGTTATGGTTGATTTGTTTAGATTTGTTTCTAGATAATTTGGCCTGCTTGCATATAAGGGGCTGGAGAGTGAGTTTCTTCAATATTTTTGTTTGTTGCGTGTATCCTTATTCTACTACTACTACTAAGTTTTTGCATTTTTCCCGGAACATTGATCTCTATCTCCTTGTATGGGTTCATTCATGATGAATTTTGCCTTTCCCTGCCCTCATTATGTTAATTCTTACCCATTTGTATACCGTGAAAGAAAATTTGTCTTGGCAAGCAAATACCGAATGAAGTTCATGATCTACATAACTCGGTTTGGGTGGCATCGGTTTGGGTGGCATCGGTTTGGGTGGGCTCAAACTGATGGTAAGGCATCAGTGAGTGATATGGTCTTTCCACGGTAATGAAAAAAATTTAGAATTTATAGAAATAACACTATAAAGATTCTTAAGCTTTAATCAATCTTGCGAAATAAACTCAACAGCAATTAAAGGAGACCTAACGGCATATCCAGAGTGCAGGATAGAGTAACACAAGCACCCAAGGAC